ATTCCTCTGGGTCTTCCCAGTGCACCAGGCCTGAGCACTTGTCTCATGCATCCAGCTGGGCTGGTGATCTGTTTCACCCTAGATAATATACATGTTTTGATGCTGTTCTCACGAAACATCCCACCCTCGCCTTCTCCCACAGAGTCCAAAAGTCTGTTCTGTATATCTGTGTCTCTTTTTCTGTTTTGCATATAGGGTTATCGTTACCATCTTTCTAAATTCCATATATATGCGTTAGTATACTGTATTGGTCTTTATCTTTCTGGCTTACTTCACCCTATAATGGGCTCCAGTTTCATCCATCTCATTAGAACTGATTCAAATGTATTCTTTTTAACGGCTGAGTAATATTCCATAGTGTATATGCGCCACAGCTTTCTTATCCATTTGTCTGCTGATGGGCATCTAGGTTGCTTCCATGTCCTGACTATTATAAACAGTGCTGCGATGAACATTGGGGTGCACGTGTCTCTTTCAGATCTGGTTTCCTCGGTGTGTATGCCCAGAAGTGGGATTCCTGGGTCATATGACAGTTCTAATTCCAGTTTTTTAAGAAATCTCCACACTGTTCTCCATAGCGGCTGTACTAGTTTGCATTCCCACCAACAGTGTAAGAGGGTTCCCTTTTCTCCACACCCTCTCCAGCATTTATTGCTTGTAGACGTTTGGATAGCAGCCATCCTGACTGGCGTATAATGGTACCTCGTTGTGGTTTTGATTTGCATTTCTCTGATAATGAGTGATGTTGAGCATCTTTTCATGTGTTTGTTAGCCATCTGTATGTCTTCTTTGGAGAAATGTCTGTATAGTTCTTTGTCCCATTTTTTGATTGGGTCATTTATTTTTCTGGAATTGAGCTGGAGGAGTTGCTTGTATATTTTTGAGATTAATCCTTTGTCTGTTGCTTCGTTTGCTATTATTTTCTCCCAATCTGAGGGCTGTCTTTTCACCTTGCTTACAGTTTCCTTTGTTGTGCAAAAGATTTTAAGTTTAATTAGGTCCCATTTGTTTATTTTTGCTTTTATTTCCAATATTCTGGGAGGTGGGTCATAGAGGATCCTGTGATTTATGCTGTGATTTATGTTGGAGAGTTTTTTGCCTATGTTCTCCTCTAGGAGTTTTATAGTTTCTGGTCTTACATTTAGATCTTTAATCCATTTTGAGTTTATTTTTGTGTATGGTGTAATTGACTTTTAAATGTTGAAACAACTTTTTATTCCTGGGATAACCTAATTTTCTCATGGTGAATAGTCTTATATGTTACACCTATATTCATGAAGAATAGTAGACTGCAGGTTTCTTTTCTTTTGATGTCTTTGTCTGGCTTTGGCATAGAATAATAATAACCTGAGTTGGGAATAATTCTCTTGGTTTCTGTCATGATTTAAATAAACCTATCTTGAAATTGTACAATATACATGGTAGACACACATGGAGGTATAATATACATCTATAATCTAGTGTAATTTAACTTAATTCATTTAGTCAATAATCTCTTAACTCATTTCTTGCTACTACTCTGTTCCTCTTACAAGATGCATTTCATCATCTCACTGTCTTCTTCAGTATACTCCTATGGCCTGCCATCTTATAATAATATATCAATTATTTACTTGCCCCAGAAGGCACCCTTTGACTAAGTTTCTGCCTCTGATCCTCTTTTTATTTTTCGTTTAATTTTGGCCACCCTGTGCAACATGTGCGATCTTAGTCCCCGGACCAGGGATTGAACCCATGCCCCTTGCAGTGGAACTGTACAGTCTTAATTACTGGCCTGCCAAGGAAGTCCTCTGACCCCCTTTTAAAAATAATCTTTACCTTGCTCATTCTGCTCTAGCTATTCTATACTCCTTGCCTTTTCTCAAATATGCCAAGTTTTTTCCTCAGTCAACAACTTTGTACTTACCATTCTCCTTGCTTGAAAGTTTTAGTAAATCATTTTATTGGTTGTTCTCTCACTTCTATTACTTTTTCAACACACTGCTATCATCTCAGAGAAGAGTTACCTGACTATCCTATTTAAATAAACATTTCCCCCTAGAGCCAATCCTCATGATACTCTATTCTCTTGCTCATTTTAGTTCATTGCACTTATCACTTCCAACATTATATCAAATATTTAATTGCAAAATAGTTTTCTGTCTCTCTCCCTTATTTGAATGTGAAATCCATGAAGTTTGGGACTTAATCTGTCTTGTTTATCACTTTGTTTCAAAGTACCTTATTAAATACCTGAGCCATAACTGTTTCAACAAATATTTGTTGAACACCAGAATTAATCATGACACATTCTGTTGATTACTATGAAAAATGCATGGAGTTATGTGAGAAAATGAGGGGCGTTCTTCAGATTACTTACACCAAGGAATCTCTTGAATGAAATGACATTTCATAGGAAGGAGCTCTTCTGGCAAATAATCAAATGGTGACTTTTAGGTAAAGCTAATAGCATATAAAGTGGCCTAAGGTCAGAAAGATCTTGAGATGCTTAAGAGAATTTAATGAGACCATTGTACTTGGAGCATAAGAAATAAGATGGAAAGCGGAATGAATTAACGTTAGAAAGCAAGTATAAAGAAGATTGTTCAGCTTCTTACAGATCAGTTTAAGAGTATGAATAGTTTCCTAAGTATTTGAGACGTCTATAAGTTGATTAATCTGGAAGTCTGTCACTTTAGAGATAAAGAAATGTGCAGCCAAGCGGCATCAGGGGGCTGCCTTGGTGACCTTGAGGCCTCCCTGCTGGCCCTTGGCTTTATGGCCATGCCTATCCTTGAAATAATAAGTGAAGCTTGACACGGGATAAACCAGTGAGTCAGATTTGACATTCTAATCATCTGCAGTATCTGAAAGGCCCATGGAAAAAAAATCATTTAGCAATGGAATAGAGGAATTGAAACCTGATGGTTGGTGGTAGGAGCAAAGGGTGATGAGAGCAGAGTGGCAGGGGGGAAATCCAAGAAAGAAAAACCTGATAATCTGGAGGGAAAGTATGAAGTGTCATGGAACCAAGGAATAAAGAATTTTGTAATGCACCTTTTATTAGGGTTCAGATAGCAAAGAATCTGCCTGCAATATAGGAGACTCATGTTCAGTCTCTGGGTCGCGAAGATCCCCTGGAGAAGGGAATGGCTACCCACTCCAGTATTCTTGCCTGGAGAATCCCATGGACAGAGGAACTTGGCAGGCTACAGTCCATGGGGTCGCAAAGAGTTTCACATGACTGAGGAACTAACATTTTTATTTTGGAGCATTTTTAGGTTTACAGAAATTCAGTTAATATAGTACAGAGAATTCCCATACACTCTCTACCCAGTTACAGCTTCCCATATTATTAATATTTTACATCTCTCTGGTACATTGATCAAGACTAAGAAATCACCACTGTTGTTAAAAATACCCTGGATCCTTTCCACATTTCATCAATTTTCCATTAATGTCCTCCTTCTGTTCCAGGATCTGATCCAAGGTACCACATTGTATTTAGTTGTTCTGTTTCATTATTCTCCTCTGATCTGTAATGTTTTCTCAGAATTTCCTTATTGCTCATGATTTTGACAGCTTTGAGGAGTCGTGATCAGGGTATTTTCTATTTAGGTTTGCTTGATGTTTTATTGCATAATAAGACTGGTGTTGCAAAGAGCACCTCAGAAGTGATATCTCTTCTAATTATATCATATACGGTGGTATGTGAATCCACATGGTTCATTACTGAGTCAGGAATGATGTGGAATTTTGATCACTTAGTTAAGATGTTATTTGCCAGATTTCTCCACTGTTCATATCTTCCGCTTTGGAAGCGAGTCCCTAGGTTCAGCACAGACTCAACAGCAAGCGATCAAAGTTCTACCTCCTGAAGGAAGAGGTATATTCAAAATATATTATTTTGAATTTTTCTTTAAGGAAGATTTGTCTAAAAGAAGAGAGACTTAAAAAAGGAAGGCATGGTCATATTCTACTGTACAATTTATGCAGATGAAGACCCAAAAGTCTTCACTGATTTTGGCAAAATGAAGATGGAGGCTACCTTAGGAAGAATTATTTGAATTTAATTGTAAAAATGGGGGACATTAGTGGGAAGAGGGTGGCTGGGAGAGGAAGAATTAAAGATAGCATATGTATCTTTGAAGATGTTTAGCTATAAAGTGGGACTGGAAATGAGGACTGTAGTTCAGGATTCATGAGACAATGATATTACATTCTGACCTTTTCATGCATCTTGTTCTAGAAATATGATTCTCAATTTCTTTCTTTTTTTTTCTGACTTAGCACGTCCCCAGCATGGGGTTAACCTCCAGCCAAGGGCCCCAAGCCAGGTTTTGAGAGATGGAGGAGAAGTGGGAAGCCTTGGAACCTGGGAGAACACCCCTAGGCTGGCAGGCAAGCTGGTCTGGACATTGTCTGTAGGAGCTGAAAAGTGAGTTCTAAATCAGAGCTTCCTCCCTCCCAGCTCCCAGGCCTTGGGGCTCCAAAGTTTTCTGATATAACTCTTTACCTCCTCCTCAGGCTTCTTTGAGGTATAATTGATGTATAATATTATGTGTTTCAGGTGTACAATACAGTGATCTGCAAATTTTAAAGGTTATACTCCATTTATAGTTATTATAGAATATTGGCTACATGCCCTGTGCCATACAAAATATCCTTGCAGCTTGTTTATTTTATACATGGTTCTCAATTTCAGTTCAAATTTCTAGTGATCATATTTGTAATAGAATGCAGCTTTCAGAATCTTCAACTTGATTAAATTCAATTAAATTTACATCACCCCATTTATATCAAAATCCAAAGTTGTTATCATAGATTAGGTTACATTAAATTTTTTTTGTATGAAAAAAAATTCTGTAAAATAAAAAGCAGATCCAGGAGAAAAAGACCCATTACTACTTGAAATCAAATTTGTAGCTAACATGTCCATGATTTCCTTGTTAGTAAATATCAAATCTGAGTAGATGATGCAGCCTTCCATCATGTAGCCCTGCTTGGTCAGTACTGGGAATTTAATAAATTTTGCCTTGACAGTTGCAGGCAGCCTTGCAATTGGTCTTCACAAAATCAGAGGCACAAGTCCATGTTTTCTTTAAAGATGCACAGTTAGAATAGGTATCTTCATACTCACAGCTATTGGCTGGAATAAAAGCAAAGAGAGTAATCACTTCATTATCATTTTCTTCCATAGCAGCAACACAAACAATGAACTCAATGTGAGTGAGAAAGAGAAAATTGAGCAAACATGTTGGCATCATTACACTGTGATGAGCATTTCATAGCTTGAGGGACACATACAGTCTCTTAGTTAAACTAATTGATTAGCTCACCATTTATTTTAAAATTCTAATCTTTTGAAATGTTTCTAAAATGAATTGGCCTCTTTTCCTTCCTCAGAAAACAGAGTACGATGAATTTAAATGAATCTGTCTAGAACTGCACTGTCCAAAATGATCAGCACTAGACAGGTGATTGCTTACATTTAAACCTAATTGAATTAAAATAAAATAAAATTAAAATTTTGTGTCCTCAGTGATACTAGTTACATTCCAAGTTCTCAATAAGCAATGTGGCCAAGGGCTACTTTAAGAGGGTATAATTATTTAACATTTCCTTGAATGCAAAAAGTTATATTGGACTCTGTTGCTATAGACTCTAATACTACTAGTCTTTCTTTCAGGAATAAGAATTCATTTAAGAAGATATGGGTGCAAAAATGCAAAAACAAAAGGAAAGTACACCATGATTGTTGGGCATTTCCATTCAGATGTCCCTCAGTGGCCGCAGACTCAACACATCTCAAGCCAGGTACGTTATCCTACCTACAAGCTTGGCAGTTTTATAGTATTGCTTCCCAACTCTCCCCTTCTTTCACCCAGACTCAGAGAAGTGGCATAATTTAAACCAGGCACTAGGAATTAACCTGAACTCATTCCCTTCTATATTTCTAGTTTCTCTCCCTTTCTTTTTAAACTGAAGTATAGTTGATTAACGATGTTCTCCCCCTATTTTTCATCAGTGTGCAGCAAGCACAGGTAAGAAACACTGGTTCTCCCACATTCCTCCTATTTCTTATCACGGTCCACTTCTCTTCATTCATTTTGCCCTCATGCAGTAAAAATATTTGTTTTTAAACCTGTGTTTTTCAACAGTCTCCAAGCTGGATTCCCATCCAATTGTTTCCGTATGCTATTGCCAGGAGCTCTTTGTAAAACACAATTCTGATTTCATCATTCTTCCATTTGAAATCTTTCAATTGGTTGCTCATTAGTACTAGGATAAATTCCGAGCTCCTCAACAAATAGTATTCAGCCCAGGTGTAATTATTTTCTTCTGTAGTTAATTTAAAAGCTTTGATATCATCAGTATTCTGAATTATGGCTGAGCAATTCTGCCAGAGAGAGTGCTATAATTCAGTTAGGTGAATGCATTTAAAAGGTAGAAATTTCAGTTGATGAGTTAATTGCATTGTTCATAATAATTTTAATAACATATGTCAACTAAACAAAAACACCAATGCTGTACTTCTATTAACAACAATACGGAATAAGACTTACATGACATTAATTTCACTCCTTTTGCTAAGATATTTTTGAAGTTTCTGTGAGCTAATAACAGTATAAGCAGATTTGATTGACATTTTAAAAGTATATAAAAGTTATTAGCAGACAAAAGTGCAAGTGTTCATTAAACTAAATTTGATGATTAAACTACCCTATGGGAAAAATGAGGAATTTAGTATGATGAACTCATTAACATATAAAGAATTATAATTTTCAATATGCCTGTCCCAGTTAAGTCATATTCTGTGGTATCACATCTTTATATTTGTACATATTTCTCCTTTTAAAGTTCCATCTTTGCTATAATGGCATTAACTTTGATGAAAAGAAAGTTCATATTCAGTTACAGTGATTAATTTCCACAGAAAGTTTTTCAGATATGCCAATATGTCACAGGTTCAACATAGCTACAGATATACATTGGTAGTAGATGTTTCTTTAGGTTATGTACAGTAACAGACTTCATTACAAGTAAGAATTCTCAACAGTATAAACTTTTTGCTTAAAGGCACTCTATTGAATAATTTTAATTTTGCCTTTTGGAGGAAGGCATTGCTTAAGTTGGTTATATTCAGAATATTTTCTAATCCTTAGCCATGTCAGGTCATTTTATTATATTAACAAGTTAATGGTTTCAAACTTACTGCATAGTCCGTTGTCACAATGATTGGGGCAGCTGCCACATGGTGTTCCCCGTTGGTAAGGGACATGTTGTTTGCCAACAATATTACCACTGAAATTTGAAATACAAAATGTCAAGCATTTTTCATTTTTCAAGTTTAATTTATGCTCCAAGGGAAGCATCCATCATCATATGGGCCTAAATATCTTTCAGTGTTTTAAATCATGTCAAGACTGAAAAACTGACATTCCCCAAGTGTACTCAGAACGCAATGCAAAGTAAGAATAATTCACATATGCAGTTTCATTCTTGACCCTAGTCTAACAGCCAGAGCCGAAATGGGCTAATAATAGGCTCTAAAATTTACAGAGTGCATTTCAGTGTGGTAACAGTTTTTACCTCTTAGTAAACTTGATGGAATTGGTAAGGCTGTGCACCCCCACATGCTGACAAGAGGTAAACATATCCCATCGAGAGACAGGGAGAAATTGGTTGTGCCTCAAATTTAAAAAACTCTTCTAAACTTTTATTCCTCCTCCCTGCTATTGAAAAATTCTTTTTTAAAAGTCTGGCTTGTCCGTTCGATAACAATGTTAAAATACTCGATTGCTGATGGCATTATGTATTGACAACAAACTTGAAAGTACATACTTACGCAGGACAGTATTGGCAAACATAGAGGTAATTTAGACTTTGTTTGGGGCAGTAGGCAACTCCACATCCAATGAGGAAAGATGAGTACCAAACAACCTATGACCACATAAGTGAAAATAGGAGAGTACATTAGAGAAGAAAATATATTTAAAAAACTATAATAAGAAATACAAAACCAAAAAAAAAGTTACTGACATATTGTGTTTCTGCATACCTTATGAATATATTTAGTTAAATTATTGAGTAGAAGTACTGACCTTTTATTTTTATTTTATTTTGGCCACTCCATGCAGCTTACAGGATCTTTGCTCCCCATCCAGGGATTAAAGCCAGGCCATGGCAGTATAAGTGCTGAGTCCTAACTGCTGGACTGCCAGGAAATTCCCTAAAAATCTTTTAAAATACTATATTTCCATGTACATTCACTATTTAATCCATTTAGACTGTAAGAAAAATACAGGGTATATTTCCCCATTCAAGGGATGCAGGCTTTTGACAAATGACAGCTCACTGCTGAAATACCCACAACATAGTAAAACTACTCTTTACCCATTTGAGATCTTCCTTTCAGTTCAACATTGCAATCAGTCAAAATTTGGAGAAGCCTCCTTTTTAAAGTACTGATGTCAAAAAAAAAAAAAATAAAGTACTGATGTCAGAATGTTTTTATCTGTTCCCCTTACCTGGGTGAAATGTCCAACTACTGCTTGGGGACTCTTCGGCCCTACTTCAAAAGCAAAATCTTGGACCTCATCATACCAGTTTTGGATTGCATTAGACCATGTAGAAGGGTAACTTGACATAAAGAGATTCTCGCCACAGTTCCTTGTACCTGAGAAGGAACAGATCATTCATGGGGAAAGCCATAAAACATGCAGAGTCCCTATTCTTTGTAGCATTCATAACTGTTAATCCATGAGGGAGTTTCTCATCAACTATAAGCTGGAAAGAAGTCAGATGTGCTTAATACCTTAAGAATGGCCTCAACGTGCACAATTTTGAGTACATCAAGTTTTTTTTCTTTAGTATCTGCTCTCCCTATATTCATTGATTTACACTTTAAATTTTTCATGAGTGTATGCCCTAACGCATACTCGGTATGCTAAAGGCAGAGACTAACTCAATTTCTCTCTGACTCTTGCCCACATTCATCAGAGATTGTTTTATACATAGGACCCTAAATAAATGTTTATGATTGCTGTTCTGTATGAACTTTGAAAAAAAGCTAGCACTCAGCCTTTAATTAAAAATCCCAATATGAAGCAAATGGCACTAGAAGAGACAATATTTTCAAAGACTATGAGTCGCCCCTTAATAAGCAAATAAGAGCATCTCAGGTCACATTCTCAAAGAATAAGGAAAGAAGTGCCTTGTAGCACAACAGAAATATTTCAAGATGTTTTTGAATATATATCTCAATATATTTTTCAAGTTGAATAGTTCGAATTAGATGGCTTTAAATATAATGTCTACATGCTACTTTAAGGGAGTGCAAACTAAATTACTCTTGGATAAATCCTTTAAGAAAGAAAGAAAGAAGCTAAGATTTTAACAGTAGATTGGGATCTTCAGGACAATTTGTTCCAATCTTCTACTGAATATAGTCATCCCTCTTCCTGATTTCACTAAATTATAGTAAAAAAAATACAAGTAACAATGACAGTTCTACATTTAAAACAGGTAAGTCATTTGCTTCTTTCAAATTGGGCTTGCCTAAATCTATGTCATTTTTCATAATTTCAGTAAATATTTTATCTAATATTTAATAATAAGATATTTTATCTCATTGTTTCTATGTTTCTTGATGCAGAAGTCATGTCTAACAGGTTATTTTTTAATCTATATAGTAATGATTATATGGCAGGCACCCAGAATATACAAAAGACTTGACATTCTGTCATCAAAAATGATATAATCAAACATATGTTATAAATACAAATATAAATAGGTTTAAAAATCACAACTGTTTTCTATCTGACAGTTTTCTATTCTATAAAATAGAGGAAGAGATGGACTCATGACTGCTTTACTTAGGGGATGGTGAAGAGGCACAAATACAATATCGTATGAGCATTTTTGTAAAATATAAAACATGCAATAAGCACAATGTGGTACTTCTCAGAATTCTTTCTCCTGCAGAGAGTTTTTAAATTGAAAAAGGGAACATTAGAAGCAACATTTATTTATAAAGCTTTCTTAATGTAAGGTCAAAAATAGCCCTTATGGTCTTGCTTGTTCACGGACTCAACAAATATATTAAATTACATACCTACTATCCTATTCTCTTTCTTACTGTGTTGGAAAAGGCACTTGTTTGCCCAATTCTGGGCGTTTGCTGCTGCCTTGCTGTTCCATTGCTAAAACAAGAAGAGAAAAAAAAGATGCACTCAATGACTTAAATTACAAAGGAGCATAAGCTTTATGATTAGAATAGTGGACTATTCTATATGAGTACAAATTTTTTCTATGTGCATCTTCTGCTTATCATGACAGTCATGGATATCTTTTTTTTTTCATGGATATCTTTTTTGCATGTCTTTTTCTGCTACACAAAATCATACATCTACCCTAAGTAATTAAAAAATCTAAGAGAGTTAATGGTCTATTTTTGATGTCACAGTAGACACACCTCAGTTTTTAGTAATGATCCTCTCTAAATATTGATCAACTCACGAAGGTGTTGAGAGTATTTTTCCTATAGTACTGAGCTGGCATACTTTACTCTTAGTTCCTTTTATTTTTTTTCAGTAAGTACATCTGGGAGACATGTGGACTTCAGTACTGGACCTAGAAAAGTGGGCTGTTATTTACCCTAGATCAAAAGGTAATAACCCTAATAACCTAAGTTAGAAGAAATACTGAGCAGAAAGACATCTCTCACTGATATCTAAAGATTTGCTTTTACTTTTGCCCCCCACAATTTAAATAACCCTTAAAACTAGACAAGTTGCTTCACTATAATAAAGCAAAATTTAGGAGACTAATGAGACAATGAGCTAATTAAGGCCCCTCACTTGTATAGGCCCTTTCTGAGTGGCAATAAGGCACCTCAGAAGATGTTTGGCCATTTTTGGGGGTTGGAGTGGTAACATTTGCAGTGGTAAGATATTTTTATGTTCTCTTTCTTAAAGTCAACAAAACTTGGATTTCTCCTACTAATAACATATCTTCTAGAAAAGGTCTAGGTCATAAATTCCAGCCCAGGTGGAGTGGACATTAATCATGAGGATGGTGTGGGTGATGGTATCGCAGTTACGACTGTACAGAGAGGAACTAGAAGGAAGGGAGCGCACAGGCCAGAGAAGTGATGAGAAAGCTGTTTTTATCAAAAACAACAGAGAAAGCCTAGTGAAAGTATCTAAAAGTCAGCTTATTAAGGTCAGAAGGCACATACTAACCTCAGCAGCCGGGTTCATGGAGAGGCTTCAGGGGTTCCATGGACACCCTGAAATTTCATACTCATTGTATATGTATGTGTGTATATGCATTTTTCTTTCTGGGAGGAGAAATTCCACTTTCAAAGATGGTAAACTCTGAAATAGGCATGGTAGAGTATAGATTCTGACAGATTAAACTATTCTAGTGAATAGAATATAGAAGGAGGAAGTATGACTTTTAAGCAAAAAATAGTATGCGGAATTTAAAAGAAGAATTTCTTCCCTGTCCATAACACAGCTCAAATGAAATAACAAGGCAGAGACACAACTTCCGAAGCTGAAAAGTTCTTAAGAGATGTAATTTACTAGGTGCCAGCTCTTACCACAGCCTGCTCAAGACACTTTTTTTTATGTGACTGCTTCTTACCATCTTCAGCATGTTACTGGGAGGGGGAGAGACTCCTCTCCTTAGGTCATTATGTTTGTTGACAATCTCAGTTTGGACTTTTATCAGGGTGGTTGACAAGTCAGCAAAACGTAGATCCTGAAGGAAAGACAGATTAGGATTCGTTTTTAAAAGTTTTGAAATTGAGTAGAAGAATGCATAAGTTAATTTAAGAGAAAAAAGATTATTTTCAGACAACTTCAGTTCAAGTCAGTATTATTAAGCACTGCCAATGAATCTGAGCCCAAACTATAATTTTTAAGAAAGAAAGAAATAGTGTTGAATTTTAAAAGTCGGGCTGTAATTCATGCCGTGATGATTAAAAATGCCTCGATGAAAATTCCCTGGTGGTCCAGTGACTTTGTGCTTCTGTTTCAGGGGGCATGTGTTCGATCACTGGTCAAGGAACTAAGATTCCATAAGTTGCGTGGGCCAGCCAAAAAATAAAAACACCTCCGAAGCTATAAATGCCACTTTCTAGAATGAAGAGACATCTCAGTGTGAGTTTTCTAGACATATGAATGAAAACACAATGACAGAGTTACAAGATTGGAGCCATTAAACATTCTTGTTCACCCTCGATCAGGCTGCAGAAAGGGCATGATAAGGGTAGAGGTAGGTGGATCCTTTTAGACCAGTGGTCTCCAACCTTTTTGGTACCAGGGACCGGTTTCATGGAAAAAAATTTTTCCATGGACCTGGGGGGTAGGAGATGGTTTCAGGATGATTCAAGCATATTACCTTTATTGTGCACTTTATTTCTATTGTTGTTATATCAGCTCCACCTCAGATCATCAGGCATTAGATCCTGGAGGTTGGGAACCTTTGTTTTAGATGTTTGGGGAACCTTGAACTGACACGCTGTGTGTATTTAGAGAAAGCATGTTTAGGCGGAGTCCAAGTGCACTCAATACTCCAGTAAATAATTCTACCTATTATATGACAGACTTTATGGGGTCTCTCAAAAGACAGTTTAACAATATTATAAAAAAAAATCTCCAAAACAATTTGGAGGGAGCAATGCCATTCCAATTAATGAATTATTGCTGACTTTGTTCCTTTTAGTAACAGAAATATAATTAACAGGGTATTAAGTCAGGTGCTGATATTTTTGGTGTATCTTTGCATGTATGTTGGGGAGGCTTGAGTCTGGAGGTAGAATAGGGTGTGTGAATAGTTCTCAGAAAGTCTGAGCAATTTGGTGACTTAAATTTACAGAAGAGTCTGATGTTATATGTACATGAGCAAAATTTTGTAAGCATTAAGCCCAGACAGGGCCTTTTGTTGATTTTCCCTGACACCCTGGGATAAGTTATTCTCTCCCTCCCCCAGTGCTAAGTCTCCTCAAAGTTCCACAGATACTGTGAACATGGGTCTCACCATACTTTATTGACACGATCTCATTATTTGTCCATTTCTCTTGCCTGTTTGTATATTCCTAAAGACAAGGACGAATATTGAACGCGTGGTACTCCCAGACTGGGCGCTTTCCCAGCTATCAATTCCTAAATTAACAAGGATGCCGATGTAAAATACCAGTTGTGGCCAATCTCTGTATAAAGGTAACTGTGGTTTTGGACTGTGAATTTTAAATCATTATAATTAGGCTCAAACACATCCTTATTAACCAAAATAGGAACCATTGCAATCAACACATTTTTGCCAACAAGAAATAAGTTTGTTTATTCCTGTAGCATAAAAATACTTGCTTTGGGATTCAGTGAACCCTTGGAAAGCATTTTCTGCCTCTTTCTGGTGGCAGAAGAATTTTCCCTGCAAAAAAGTTGTCTTGATGCTTGAAATTGTAGTTGGTTGACGATAGGTCAGGTGACTATGGCAGATGGGGCAAAACTTCATAGCCCAATTTGTTCAACTTTTGAAGTGTTGGTAGTGCAACATGTGGTCATGTGTTGTTGTGGAGAAGAATTGGGTCCTTTCTGTTGACCAGTGTCAGTTGCAGGATTTGCAGTTTTCAGTACATCTTATCGATTTGCTGAGCATACTTCTCAGATGTAATGGTTTTGCTGGGATTCAGAAAGCTGTAGTGTATCAGATGGGAGAAGGCAATGGCAGCCCACTCCAGTACTCTTGCCTGGAAAATGCCATGGATGGAGGAGCCTGGTAGGCTGCCGTCCACGGGGTAGCTAACAGTCGGACACGACTGAGTGGCTTCACTTTCACTTTTCACTTTCATGCATTGGAGAAGGAAATGGCAACCCACTCCAGTGTTCTTGCCTGGAGAATCCCAGCGACGGCAGAGCCTGGTGGGCTGCCGTCTATGCGGTCGAACAGAGTCGGACATGACTGAAGCGACTTAGCAGCAGCAGCACCAGTGTATCAGATGGTCAGCAGACCACCAGACAGTGACCGTGACCTTTTTGGGGTGCAAGTTTGGTTTTGGGAAGTGCTTTGGAGCTTCTTCTCAGTCCAACCACTGAGCTGGTCATTGCCAGCTGTCGTATAAAATCCACTTTTTTTGCATGTCACAATTCTATTGAGAAATGGTTTGTTGTTGTTGCATAGAATAAGAGAAGATGACACTTCAAAACGATGATATTTTTTATTTTCAGTCAGCTCAAGAGGCACCCATTAACTGAGCTTTTTCATCTTTGCAATTTGCTTCAAATACTGAATGACCATAGAAGGGTCAATGTTGAGTTCTTTGGCAAATTCTCATGTAGTTTTAAGAGGATCAGCTTTGATGATTCTCTCATTTGGTCAATCAACTTCTGATGGCTGGCCACTGTGCTCCTCATCTTCAAGGCTCCTGTCCCTTTTGCAAAACTTCTTGAACCATCATTGCACTGTACATTCTTAGCAGTTCCTGGGCTAAATGCATTGTTGATGATGAGAGTTATCTCCATTGCTTTCCAACCCATTCTGAACTCAGATAGGAAAATTGCTCAAATTTGCTTTTTGTCTAACATAATTTCCTTAGTCTAAAATAAACACAAAATAAACAGCAAACAGTGTCATTAGCAAAAAAAAAAAGATAAATGTGTATTAAATAGCAAAGTTCAACAATGCAAAACCACAATTACTTTTGCACTAACCTAAATATATCAAATTGTAAAATAGCTCCCTGGATATGTCCTTTTGACTCTGAAAAATGTAGTTTCATTTCAAAGTGTACCAAAATTTGGTTTCTGAAAAGTCATTATTTCCTGCTTCTTACCCTATCTTGCTTTGTAGATAAATTCTATTGAAGAAGACATGTCTTTTGTTTGTTTTAAAAATGAGCATCGATAAAGTTTTTATTAAGTGACAGGTGATATGAAAAGTGTTGAGAGTACAATGGATAAAAGGTGGTATCTATTTATCCTTAAAGAGTTTATATGGAAAGGCAGTATGACATAAATAGATAATTATAACCTGATAACTGAAATGATAGGAGGGATCTGCTAGATATAAAGGGAGGAGGGATTAAGTCTCCTTGACTGATCTTAGAAAGGATTTCACAAAATATGGTCTGGACTGGGATATTGAAAGATAAATTGTGTTTTCTAGGCATCTGGAGAAGATGCTCTGGGCAGAGGGTGTGTAGCGTATCTGATCAAGAGACATTTACTGGTGCAAAGGACCCAAATGATGTCTCCCTTTTAAATACTTTTATAAATAAAGACTGGGAGATGGACTGGACATGTAACAGGGGACTAGAAAGGACCATGGAAAGAATCTTCAGGAAAGAAGTTGGGAATGCAGCAAACTACTTCAGTGAAACCCTAGCTGATGAATATATTGTATTTGGATTGAAATTTTGATCATGGTAACATAATAGCTATATTAGTAAATGCCAAATGAGGTTAAATGCAATGTCAGAAACCTGTGGCCTGAGGAGTCCTAGCTAATCTTGTGTGCCCAGAGTCAAAGGAGGGTGTGGGAACAGACAGCAGTGACCAAAGCTCCTCACATTCAGAGGTTCTCTGATCAGAAGGTGGACACCTTACATGGGCATCTCCACACCAATCATTGGGGAACATGACTGATCCTGTTTGGGAGATTACTAAACTGAAGTAGCATATTAGAAATAATTAGAACATCTTACCTAACATATACTAACTGTAAAATTATGGGCAAAATCAAAATACTTAATATCTTTAGTAAATTTTCTTGCCTTTTAATTTAAAGTATAGATAGAATTATTCTCACAGGGTAGTTATGAAAATTAAATGTGGTGATGTGTGGGAAGAAGTTTTGCTAATTTGAGATCATATAAATATGTTACTAATTTTCTGTGGGAGTCACGTTGAAATGTATTAAATAGAAGTAAATCAGAAAAGATCTTGGGACAGGAGAAGTATCATTAGCTTTTAAATCCACAAACCAGTGCTGTCATAAGAAATATAATTAAGGCATCACATATAATTTTAATTTAAAAAAAGAAAAAATAAGCATATTAAATTGTTAAGTATAATATATACCACTTGGTGAAATTATTACAATGTTTATTATGTGATCAATATTAAAATTATTAAGGAGATTTTTACCTCCTTTTTTCCCCACTAAATCATACTGTATTGTATTTATGCAGGTCTCAGCTCACACTATCCTTATTTCCAGTGTTCCATATCCTCGCGTGGCTAGACGCTACCATATTGGTTGCCACAGCCTTAGACTTATGCACAGTGAGCAACTGAGAAGTACTTTGCGATGTACCAGACACCCTGGTCTTTTTTTACTTTCAAACATTGATCCCTCAAAGTTGCATGAGTTGTTGTGAAAGGATTTTTACCCTTGACCATACCTGTCCCTTTGCAGGAAAGAACGGAAGCCACGCAGCCGCCAGGAACAAAACCACCGTGAATAATGCCATTGCTGGGAAAACAAAACAAGGGAACAAAGACCTGCATTGGAATGTTTAGTGCATGAACTTCTGAGGAACACAGGGGAAAAGCGAACACACAAAGTAAGGGTCTCAGTTACACCGGATTCATTAGCTCACAGGAAACAAGGAGGGTGTGTCACCAGGAGTCTGTAGAATGACAATGGATTTGGCCCCAGACCCGAGCCTCCAGTGGGGACAGTAAAGAACAGATAGAAACACTGCATTGAAGGCCTTGAAGGTCACCTGTGAATGTTGATGATAAATAACTCAATTCTACCCTGTTGTTGGTGTTGCTAAGTTGTATCTGACCCTTGTGGCCCCAGGGGCTGTAGCCTGCCAGGCTCCTCTGCCCATAGGATTTCTCAGGCAAGAATATTGGAGTGGGTTGCCGTTTCTTTCTCCAGAGCATCTTCCCGACCCAGGGATCCAACCCGTGTCTCCTACATTGGCAGGCGGATTCTTCATCCCTGAGCCACAAGGGAAGTCCAATTCTGCCCTAGTTCCACAGCTTTTCCATATAACTATTCTCCAGCTGCTAGGAAGGGCTTCTTCACACTGCCCAACTGTGATAAAACAACACACACATAAATATATGGAATCTAGAAAGATGGTCTGTAGGAAATTATTTTCAGGGCAAGCAGCAATGGAGACAACCTGGAGGAGGGCATGGCAACCCACTCCAGTACTCTTACCTGGAGAATCCCATGGACAGAGGAGCCTGGTGGGCTACCGTCTATGGGGTCTCAAAGGGTCGGACACGACTGAAGTGACTTAGCACAACGCGCACACTGGAGACACAGACATAGAGAACAGACTTGTGGACACGGTAGGGGCTGGGGAGGAGGAGGAGGAAAAGGGGGGATGTATGGAGGGTAACATGGACACATACATTACCATATGTAAATACATAGCCAATGGGAATTTGCAATATGACTCAGGGAACTCAGACTGGGGCTCTGCAACAGCCTAGAGGGGTGGGATGGGAAGGGAGGTGGGTGGGAGGTTCAGCAGTTTCAGGAGGGAGAGGACATTAAAAAAAAAAAAAAAGAACGGCTAGCCCTTGCTGTTTTCCTTACACCTTGCTTAATCCTTTATAAGCCCAGTTAACACCTCCTCAAATTACCAGTGAACATGTGCCACTACTTTCCTTTCAGAGATCTGGCTCAGATGCTTGCGTTTCCTAGAGCCCTAGGTAAACCCACTGAGGAGTAAATGCTTTTCTTTGGTAATTTCAACAGCTCTCTTCAACTCTGCCCAGTGTCCCCATTCATTCCCATTCAAATTCTTCTCTTCATTACGACGTCTTAAATCCCAAAAAGGCAACATTCTCTTTCTGGATCTAAAAACAGAAGGTACAGTTCTCACATTTCAAGGTGTTATTAATACCAACCCAATCCTATGAACACCCTTAATATAGTCACATCATTTGCCTCACTACTTCAAATTCTTGGAATCCCCAGGAAATAATAATATACACTGGTAAAGCTTTAGGCATACTTTTTCATCACATTAATATTTATAAAGGTAAAACATTGTAATGAATTAAATATTCAATATCACAGGGGTAAAATGTCTAAATAAATTCAAACACATCTTCTTGCTTAAGCATAGTAGACATAAAAGTTATTTTATGATGATTTTGTAACAAGGAAAATGTTTATATTTTGAAGTTAAGTTTTTTTGAAAAAAGTGGAATACCAAATGATACATGGGAGGTGCTTAGCGTTCTGTGAAAAAGTATGGGCCTTTCCAAAATTTATATATTGAAGCTCTAAGCCCCCAGTGTGACTATGATATATCAGGGCCCCTAAATAAGTAATTAAAATTAAATGAGGTTGTAAGAATGGGTTCTAATTCACAGAATTAGTGTTCAGTTCAGAAGAGACGTTCAAGCCCTCTCTCTGTCTCTGTCTGTCTCTCTTGTCTCCACGAACACAGAGAAAAGCCCATGTGAGGGCACCATGAAGGTAGCTGTCTGCAAGTCAGGAAGAGAAGTCTCACCAGAAACTGACCATCCTGGCACCTTGGTCTCAGGTGAGAACTGTGAGAAAATAAATTTCTGTTGCTCAAGCCACCCAATCTGTGGTATTTTGTAATAGCAGCTACAGCAGACTAATATGTATATTTCTCATGTATATTGAGGGTCAGATTACATTCAAGTGCATTCCAAGGCCTATAACATGTCATTGGAAATCTGAAGCTACATATCTACGTTAAGCGTTTACTGGCTGCCACTCATCATCCATATTGCAATGTACCTTGACTTTTCTCATGGATAGATGACAAAAGCGCTATGGGGTTTCTTTGGGGTCAGCTTTTTCCCCTAATATTTATTTATTTGCCTGTTCTGGGTCTTAGTTGCAGCATGCAAACCCCTGGTTGTGGCCTGTGGCATCTAGTTTCCTGAGCAGGGACTGAATCTAGTCCCCTGTGTTGAGAGCACTGTCTTAGCCGTTGACCAGCAGGGAAGTCCTGGGACTAGTTTTCATATAGGCTAACAGAAGAAATTGTATTGCCTAGTGATATTGGGGACCTTGATGCTCAGGAGTTTGGGAATGCAGAGATTATGATTTACCTGGAGGACCGCAGCAAAAATAGAACCTCATACTATTCTCTTACAAAATAAATGATCAGCTAAAAAGCTAGGCCAACAGGAGGTAAAATTAAGCAAAAAACAAAAGACTGAATTCATCCTCATGTGATAAGGTGTTCTTTTCTTCTCTGCATTTTCTATAATGAGTCTGTGAAGTGAAAAGTGTGAAAGTCTTAGTTGCTCAGTCATGTTTGACTCTTTTTGCCACCCCGTGAACTGTATAGCCTGCCAAGCTCCTCTGTCCATGAAACTCTCCGGGCAAGAATACTGGAGTGGATAGCCACCTCCTTCTCCAGAGGATCTTCTAGGCCCAGGGATCAAACCTGGGTCTCTTGCATTGCAGGAGGATTCTTTACCATCTGAACCAGTCTATATTACTGTAATTCGAGTAACTATTGTGAAGGCATTCTTGGAAAAGTGCCTCTGATTTATTGTCTTAGTTGCTCTTTTGCCACCTATTGAAGCTAATGGTTTAGGCATTGTGATGTCTCTGTGAGTGAAGAAATGAGGCACAGAGATGTTAAGTAACCTTCTGACAGACTCATCGCCAGACTGAGGATACTTGGGATTTTTTTTAATCTCAATAACCATTTCCCACTAAACAGTATCATACTTTTGGTGGGGCGTGGAGTTCTGGGTAAGAATGTCAAGCATTCTGCCTTGACGGAAATAGTCCTACATTACTATTAATATAAATCTTTTTGCAGCTGATAAATAGCCAATAAATGACTGAACACATTTGAGAAAATTAGAAAAAAATAGAAATATTAACAATTAAGTCAATCATTTTCTGTTGTCTTTCAAATATTATAAAACTTCTAAGACTTGGAGAGTGCAAATAATATTTTCTTAGGATATCCTTCTTGATTCCAAAACTTAGGCCATTATAATAACCCTCATTTATGTAAATTTGTTGAAATAATAGAGCACTTTGTTGGCATTTTAATGAAGCATTTTTGTCTGTTTAATAACTAGAATGAGAAAGGATGTAATTGGATTGGAAATCACAAAACTGATAGCTTATTCCTATAAGAGTTCTATGAATGATACAAATTATAGAAGTGTTTCTACAGTGTTTTGAAATTTTAAGCTCTTCTATACCATTAAAATTTCACTCACGGCAATATGAAAAGGTTGATTTTGTTTAGATTTTAGGTGGGCAAAAGGAAGAGGTGGGTGAAAGAAATGAGAATATAAAGATAGAAAAGGAAAAATAGGGAAAGAGAAATGAACTTATTTCTGTATAAAGCAGATACATAAATTTAATATTAAAAAGAGCCATTTTTATTTTTCAGGGATACCTGGCCCTTTACTGAGCAAACCTAAACTTTGGCACCTGGTATTGTCATGAAGGAAAGAGAGCACCGTAAGTGTTGACAAGCCTGGGATTTTGTTTTATGTTTATCATAAGTTGTGATACTGTTTTACCCAGCTCATCTTTAACTAGTTATATAAAATTGAAAATATTCATTTATCAAATTAGAATATGGTGACATAGGGTCGCCTCATAGGGATTTTGTGATGTTTGAGAAGATAAATAACATCAAAGCAATCTGAAAACAAAAAATATCAACATATACCCACATATCCTAGCATTATCATTACTATTTTTATTATTATTTGGGATGCTTGCTCTCCCAGCAGAAATCTCTCGGCTATCGGGGATAGCTCTTCAGGGACTGGCTTTGCTGAATGCAGCCTCCTGGCCCAAGGTCATGCTCCCTTCCCAATTCACCCTCATCCTATGCTGTCAGATGTGGGGTATAAAGGCCTGACCTCTTCGCTCCAAGTAGAGACAACTCTGAAACATCATCCCAACTTCTGAACTACTCAGAAGTAGTCGACTGGCTGAAGCCTCCAATGAGACTACACTACACCTTTGCCTAATTTTGCTTCCCCCTGACTCCCTCCCAAAGGAATTGACCTCCAGTGCATTTCCTGATAAAGTTTCCATCTCTCAGATATTGTTCCTAGAGGATCCAACCTGTGACATCATTCATTAGATAATCTTTTTAAATTTTCCTTAATTCTAGCCAGACTTCTTTAGTTATCCTTTGATCATATGCCATTAATGCCTTAAATTATATTAATCCTCAACCCTGGATTCTAGCCACATCCTTCAAAAACATTTCTAAGTGCCTCTTCCCAAAGAAACTCCCAAGTTAACTCCAAAAACATTGATCTTGCCACTGGATGAGAGCCTTTAAAACTTACCATGTAAAGTTTTGATTATATATTCATTTTCTCTGACCCACCTGCAAGATCTTATTTCTCTCAATTTTTTCATGTACTTTTGACTTTTTTTTTCTATAATTTGACCATGAGTGTGGAAAGGACAGACCACCATTTTCATTCTTTTAAATGCCTTATGGCTAAAGACAGCTCCCTCTTTATA